ATGGCCATTTTTAAATGCCTCTCCCCCACTTATTGCTTCTAAAAATAAAAGTTGTCCTCTTTCAATGAAAATTTGAATTATTATTTGAATGCACTTGATAGATCAATTAATGGAAGTTAAGATGAAAAAAATAATTTCAAAATATTTATATTTGAAGTGTTTTCAGGTTAAAAATAATTAAAAGTAATCTTCTGATATGCATTTGCATTCAATTTGTTTTATTTTTTATTTTTTTAGAAAAAAAACCAATAAATTTAAGGAATATATTGTGAAAAGGTGATAAAAAAGGGGAAGTAACTGAAACATTTTTGAAATACACAAATTATTTATGACATAAAGCAAAGGTTATTTGTGTTAATTAACAATGTGTTTGACACCAAAGCTGTCAGGTGAAGCCCTGCACTTAATGGGTCACTTAATTTGACAGTTTACACAGCTAGCTGAACTTCTGTTGATGGAAGAATTACAAATTTTAGTTTGACAGTATTTCAAAGTCAGAAAAATGCCGAGATTTTCGCGATAAAACGAAAGGGCGCCCGAGAAACGCCAACGGCTGTTTTGCCAGACAAGCTGGATCGTTTCTGATTTTCTTCCTGTTGTCCGGCATTTAAATAACATAGAAAAATTATCAGATCAATGATAGGCCAACGATCGACATCGTAAAACCTTGGTTCTCAACTTATGTAAACAAGTCATGACCACGTGGTTTCTAGTAATTGTACTGAACAGTCCGACCCTAGAAAATACCGTCCTAGATAATGCGGCCACTAGTTCATCCGCATGCACCCTGTGCCGATTAAATTAAAGGTTTTTTTTTCTTATTTTTAAAAACTGGCCAGTAATAAATACTTTTATACGACACCCTTGATTTATTTTTATAATACCGTTACGGGGACGGATCAACTTCTGGCTGATATAATATGGGGCGAGATTGTCACCTCGACGTTAGAGTACTCAATAAAAACGTCATCAAAATGTGATTACGCTGTAGCAAAATAGAAGATTCCATGTGATGGTGAAGATGTTTTCAGATAAGTGCATTAAAAATTTAATTTAACATGTGTATATAATGAGATTATAAAATATAATTTATTGAGGAACAATGATTTTTTTATGGTTTTTTTTTTAGCAAATCAACATCAGAAAATCTGAAAGCATAAACCTGGGAACATGCAGATATATCTTATATATATATGTTCCTGCATAAACTGAAAAATATATTTATTTTTAACAACATTGAATAATCTTGTTGTCACATAACAGGCATAACTGGTAGATATGTAAAAATTTAATTGAATTGTGTGAATGGTTATTTGGTGAAAATAATAAGTCGCTAGTTTTTTATCTTCAGGGGATAGAAAAAGAGGGAGGGTAATTAATTTGATTCCAACTGGCTTCCAATGTATACTGTATAAACATGCAATAATATTTCTATTGAATTTATTGCTTCAAAATGTCTAGAACAATTGATTCTTTGTGGATTTTTTTGATACTTTTAGGGGATTAAATGATTAAATGGAGCTGCCAATTTTGAAAGTAAACGGATTGCATGCAGATTCCAGTTACCTTTACTCAGCAATACTAGTTGGAAGTACAGAGACAGCAAATTTAATTACAGAAAGGAGGAGAACTTCACATGTATCCTTTATATCTGACACACATTTTTAATATTATAATATTTGAAACTGAACAGCGAGCATCATTAAGCCATGGTGAAAACTGTGTATCTAAATACAATTAAGACAATGAAATGCTTGAAGGTGTTAGTGAACATGGGGAGGAGGGGTGGGGTGAGTACCATATTTAATTAATGGGTAATTTAACAATATAAGCAGCCATTAAAAATGGCAAACAAGTTTGCTAGTAGTACTAGTATCTATAATTTTGATGGAGGTTTAAGGATCTGACATTAAATACAAGTACATTTTTTTTTAATGGGAACTTGACAGCCATTGAAATAAGATATTAAACATGGCCAATACAATGTAATTCATGCCGCAATGTTTATATATACGTGACAGATTTGATACAACAAGGGCAATATTCATCTACCTTATAATGAGTAATAAATGTGTATATTCCCTCAGAAAATGCAAAATCGTAGCATTTCGGGAATCCCGCCAAAAGTCCGGGATTCCCGATGTAAATCCCAGTGGAAATATACTGGGATCCCAGTATATTTCCACTGGGATAAAATTTCGGGAATCCCGCCAAAAGTCCGGGATTCCCGATGTAAATCCCAGTGGAAATATACTGGAATCCCAGTATATTTCCACTGGGATAAAATTTCGGGATTCCCGCTAAAAGAGCGGGATCCCAATCAGAATCCCAGTATATTCCAATCAAAATCCCACAATATCCCAGTGGGATCCCAGTATATTTCAACCGGGATTTACATCGGAATTCCCGGACTTTTGGCGGGATTCCCGAAATTTTATCCCGGTGGAATTAGGTGGGATCCCACTTGGAATCCCATCAAAATTCCAGCTGGGATTTCAGTGGGATTCCAGATTTATTTTCTCTTGGGTTGTGTTCAAGTGTATGGATCTCTCTGAAATTATACTGCAAGGTACCATACTACAAAGGGAAGGCTGGGATTGATGATGGGGGTAATTCCCTCAAAATTTTAGTAATTAGGGGCCATAAAAGGGCAAAAAAACAAGCATTTTTCTAGTTTTAGGACAATAACTTGTGTGTAAGTGTATTGATCTTTATGAAATTGTACTGCAAGGTTCCATATCACAAAGGGAAATGCTTGGTTTGAGTTTGGGGGTAATTGCCCTAAACGTTTAGGAATTTAGGGCCAAAAAGGGGCAAAAAAACAAGCATTTTTCTAGTTTCCAGACAATAACTTGTGTTCAAGTGTATGGATCTCTCTGAAATTGTACTGCAAGGTACCATACCACAAAGGGAAGGCTGGGATTGAGTTTGGGGGTGATGAATCATAAGGGGGTTCAAAAAATTTGGGGGGGGGGATTTTTTTTCCTTTTTTTTTCTTTAAAATTTTCCATTTTAAATTGGTTATTTCTGATTTATATATAAAAACATATAATAATGATATGGTTTGAATAGGTAAATTAAAAATTTTTAAGTTCTTAGACCACTTTCATTCTGTGTCAGAAACCTATGCTGTGTCAAATATTTAATTACAATCAAAATCCAGTGCTGTATCAAGCTTGAATGTTGTGTCCATACTTGCCCCAACTGTTCAGGGTTCGACCTCTGCGGTCGTATCAAGCTGCGCCCCAGCGGAGCATTTTATTTTTTTCTTTGTAAATTTTCCATTTTAAGTTTGTTATTTCTGATTTATATTTAAAAGCAAATAATAATGATATGGTAGGAGATACACACCAAACAGGATGTGTAAATTATTATATTATAAGTATTGTGCAATAGCAAGAAATTTTCAATTGCACAGTATTGCACAATAGCAAGAAACCTTCAATTGCACAGTATTGCGCATGCGCAATAGCAAGAAATCTTCAATTGCACAGTATTGCACAATAGCAAGAAATATCCAATAGCACAATATTGCGCAATAGCAAGAAATTGTCACTTGTACAGTATTGCGCAATAGCAAGAAATATTTAATTACACAGTATTGTGCAAAAGAAGATACTTCGTATAAATTGCTTATTTCTTGACCAATTTCAATGGGGTTTTATTCTTGAATTCTTGGGGTTCTTTAATATGCTGAATCTAACCACATTTAGTTTTTGGATTTTGGGCCCTGTTTTTAAATTGGTCCACATTGAGGTCCAAAGGGTCCAAAGGGTCCAAAATTAAACTTTGTTTGATTTCATCAAAAATTGATTTATTGGGGTTCTTTGATATGCCAAATCTAACCGCGTATTTAGATTCTTAATTTTTGGTTCCGTTTACAAATTGGTCTACATTAAGGTCCAAAGGGTCCAAGATTAAACTTAGTTTGATTTTAACAAAAATTGAATTCTTAGGGTTCTTTGATATGCTGAATCTAAACATGTATTTAGATTTTTGATTATGGGCCCAGTTTTCAAGTTGGTCCAAATCGGGGTCCAAAATTAAACTTTGTTTGATTTCAACAAAAATTGAATATATGGGGTTCTTTGATATGCTGAATCTAACCATGTATTTAGATTTTTGATTTTTGGGCCCCATTATCAACTTTGTCCACATTGAGGTCAAAAGGGTCCAAAATTAAACTTTGTTTGATTTCATCAAAAATTGAATTCTTGGGGTTCTTTGATATGCTGAATCTAACCATGTATTTAGATTTTGGATATTGGACCATAATAGGTGAATGTCCAATTTAAAATTTTTAAGTTCTTAGACCACATTCATTCTGTGTCAGAAACCTATGCTGTGTCAAATATTTAATCACAATCCAAATGCAAAGCTGTATCAAACTTGAATGTTGTGTCCATACTTGCCCCAACTGTTCAGGGTTCGATCTCTGCGGTCGTATCAAGCTGCGCCCTGCGGAGCATTTTATTGAATTTGCATTGATATTGAATCCTTCAACTTCACTCAAAATTTTAAAATTCTATCTTGAATAGTTTTTGAAACCAGTAAGATAAGTGATCAGAAAACGGTCTTCAACCGTAGACATATTTTCTATAGAATATTTATACCCCGCTTTAAAAAAGTGGGGGTATACTGTCTTACCTCTGTCTGTCCATCCATCCATCCGTCCATCTGTCAGTCCATCCGTCAGTCCCACCGTCGGTCCCATGAATATTTTTCGTCACATTTTTCTCGGGAACTACATTACAATGATTTCTGAAATTTGGTTTCAGGGTTTATATGAGTCAGCTATACAGTGTGATGCGTTTTCAGATTCATCACTCAACAACTTCCTGTTTACCTTATACCTTTTAGCGGGGTCGGAGTATTATTAGTGAACAGTAGCTCACAGATTCACTTGTTGTGTATACCTCTATATCATGTAAATTGATCTTAGTTTAATAAAGTGGTGAATGATTAAATTGTATTAAATAAGTAATATTGTTTATTTTTAGGCTGAAATCATCCGACTAAGTGAGAATTATGTGCGAGCACTCGCCCGGGAGAATTCTGACATCGTAGATGGTCCGTATGCTGGCAGATTTACAGCTTATGGTTTGTTCACTATATTGTTATGAATATTTATAGATGTGGTATGATTGCCAACGAGACAACTACTACTGATTCATTATTATTCTTCGGATACCAATTGTCATGGTTTTTGTATTCTTCGGATACCAATTGTCATGGTTTTTGTATTCTTTGGATACCAATTGTCATGGTTTTTGTGGGTAAACATGAACCACAATTTAAATGTTTAATGAAGTATACATTTTTATATGCTTATATGCAGACTTGGGCAAAACCAAATATCAAATATCCACAATAATACAAATTACCCTAGGCCTCAATCCACGAAAATTCGTACCCACTATTATAAATGAATCCACGGTATCCACCAAAGACCAAAGGATGAGGATGTTACAGCTATACATTTATATGTCATTGTCCTGCCTTCAGCAATGATCAAAACCTATACTGAAATGACAGGGGGATGTGGTATGGTGCTGTATTATTGACATTGGGACAACTTTTCATTATTCATTGTTGGTTGCTTAACGGTACGACAAACTTTTAACTTAAGAACAAGAATCCTAAGAAATACATGTCACCATATGGCCTTCAGCAATGAGCAAAAACTAAACTAAAAAAATAAGGAGATGCTGTATTATTGCAAATGAGACAACTATTGACAAAAGACTAAAGAACAAGATTGCTAACAAATTCAGGTCACCATACAGACTTCAGTAATGAGCAAAACTTTACTGAAAAAAGTAAGGAGATGAAAGTGTGATTGCCAATGAGACAACTAATTATCCATGAGATTCCAATTGGTGTGGATGTAATCAACAGTACAGCCTTCAACAATGAGCAAAACCTTTACCCTAAAACAGTTTAGTCATCTATATACTGCCCTGTATAACAAAAAATGAAACAAACCAACAGAAAACTAACAGCTTGATCTAAGATTAAAACATTATCAAAAACAATTAGGATAAACAGCAACCATTGGATTACTTACTTCTGGCTTGAGACAAGCATATAAAGAATGTGGCGGGGATAAATTTTTATGCCCCCGACACAGGCAACAGGGGTATAAAGTGTTACCCTTGACCTTCGTCTCTCTGTCCGTCTGTCCAATTTTCTTTTGTTTGAAGCTTGAGTGGGGTCATATGGTCCTCAGACACATTCTTCTTTTATTTTATATATCATGTTTTTATAGGAATAAGATGATGTGGTATAATAACCAATGAATCATATAGTAAGCTATAAAACGATAACAAAATGTGTAATGATTGAAAAAAGAACACCCAACTGTACCAAGTCTGTTAAAGAATTATTTTAGAAGATTTAGTCAACTCAAAATGGTTATAGAAAAATTTAATTGAATTTAGAAGTTCTGAATAAAATATTAGCATATATATATATATATACATGATAAGTTTTATTATATCTGAATGTTTTAAGTTTATTGTCATGAATATGTAGATGTTTTGTATGGCTAATAAGAAATGTAATTCTATTAGTGTAAAGCTAATGACTCTTTTATTTACAAGATTTCTGTATAGTACTTTTTAATATGGTTTAGTGGGAAAAATATTTTAAATGAAAAATTATGGTTTCATGCTCTACTGATCAAGTTTTTATTTGTTATGATGGTTTCTGATTTTTAAACAAGTTTTTACTGATATTTAATTTTAAGACTAAAATTGTTTTTGAACATGTTGAATATAAAACGTTATTGGAAAATGTATCCTGTTTAATGATATGAATTTTATGGTTGATTAATTAAGAGAAAAACTGAACTTGATGAAGGAAATTATACACTTATTTTATCTAATATGAATTTTCAGTAAATATTTTGCAGAAAGCAATCTTTGACACCACATTACCTTCCTGTTGAATTTTTATGAATAAAAGATTGACTGTTGTTTACTTAATGTCGAATGACAAATATTTCATGCATATCAAGGAAGAAATAAAAAAAAAAAACAATGTTGTATAAACGCCCCAGCAAAAATTTATTAGAATCAAAGGATTAAATATAAATGCTATGTTGAAGACCGTGCTTTGACCTATAATGGTTTACTTTTATAAATTATGACTTGGATGGAGAGTTGTCCCATTGGCACTCATACCACATCTTCTTATATCTATATATGTAAACTTTCAAGGATGCTAATATTCTCGGATAGTTTTATATAGAAAGCATCAGACAAGATGAGGGGAAAGAAATTGATTGAGATGTTTTTTCTTGACTGTATTTTTAGTGTTGTTTGTCAACTTTTGTTGTGTCTTTTAACTTTTTTTGAACATTGTTGGTGTGCTCTTTAAGTCTTTTTCTTGTTTGACCCTCTAGATTAGTATACACAATCTCTCAACTGGTGCTTATTCCCGGTAAATTTTGACGTCATTGATGTCCAATGAAACATTTTACCCAGAATGACCTTAGGTCAACTGGGGCAGTTTATTTATAAAATTGTTATTGGTAGCTATCTATCAATAAATGATAATAATAGATAATTATTTATTTTATACTAAGTAGTAAATACATGTAAATTGTATGTTAAATACGATCAATGACAATCATACTGTATCATCCATCCATGATGATATCAATATCAGCACGGTTGTAAAGGCTTTATCACAACCTTAATCTGTGTGACGTCATGTCATCGACTGAAGACTTTATCAAGCCCCTAATCTGTATGACGTCACGTCACATAAAAAAACATCTGCTTGAGATCTATATAATAAAGTGTATATGATATGACTTTTTCAATATCACTCACAGTATCAACCCTCAACCAATATCATCCCTCAAGCAGAGCTCTCGGGATTATATTGGTGTCTCAGGTTAATACGGATGTGATATTGAAAAAGCCATATAATATTCTCTATATATATATCTTAAGCTGAAGCATCCATAACATGATACACATTTGTTATACATTTTGTAGATAGAAGCCCACATTAAGCTCCGTATTATGATGTCTTTATTTTTGAAACTAAACGTTGTTGCATTGCTTGACAAGTACGTAGAAAGATTAACTTCACAAAAGAAGATTATAATGAAATATTATTTTTCAGATCTGAAGAAGACTATAGCTGTATTACTGGAAAGCATGTTGGACAGAATAGATCATCTAGAAGCTAAAGTTAACATTACCAGATTGGGTGGATTGTTAGGCTTATCGTCCAATTTATCACAACATCAAAATAATAATGTCAATCCAGCTAAAGGCATCATTAACGCAGAAGGTAATTACAATGTTTTAGTATGAAGGAAATGTAAAGCTGAGTCCTTGTCTGTCAGTCGTTGTCACATGACCTGGACCTTATTTCCAGGCTGTAATTGTCAGATAAAGTTCAAGATTAGGACTATTCTTTAGTACTGTAACTATGATATGTAGACTCCTTGTTTCGAGTCTGACATAATTACATATACATGTGAAGAATGTAGATATTTGTCTAACATATGCCCCTCCTTTCTTTTCATATGATAATTGTTTAGTTAAGTTTTTGTCTTGCCTGCTAGTCAAAGGCATACTGTTGTTATCAATGGCATAAACAATTGTTATGCCCCACCTAGGAGCAGTATGTTTTTCGTTCTGTGCGTCTGTTTCGTTCGTCCGTCTGTCTGTCCCGCTTCAGGTTAAAGTTTTTGGTCAACATAGTTTTTGATGAAGTTGAAGTCCAATCAACTTGAAACGAAGTACACATGTTCACTATGAATATGATCTTTCTAATTTTAATGCCAAATTAGAGTTTTGGTCCCCATTTCATGGTCCACTGAACATAGAAAATGATAGTGCGAGTGGGGCATCCGTATACTGTGGACACATTCTTGTTTTTATCAATCAATCAGTCCTATTCACAATGACTGGAATATATTTTCAGGGATTTTGATCCTTGCTGAAGTGCATATACATGTATCAATAGTTTAAATAGATTGCTTTTGTTAAAAAATATTTTTGTTTTGGAAAGGAGGAAAAAAAGACGAAATAATTAACTGAAAAGTTAATGCTGTGGATTAATTTATTATAGTGGGTACCAATTTCATGGATTGAGGAAAAAATTTATTTTCGTAGATATTTGATTTTGTGGTTTGCAAATGTTTGTATACAAGCATATAGAAAATTTATATTTAGTTGAACATTTATATTTGTGGTTTCCCTAACGTTAGCTAAACAAACAAAATCATCTTTTTTTGGAATTCCTGATAACATGTTCTCCCTCATAACTATTTTATGTGTGATATAGTGCACTGTAATTCCTGATAACATGTTCTCCCTCATAACTATTTTATGTGTGATATAGTGCACAGTAAACCCTGTCCTTTTATTTTATTTGTTAAAAATATTCTTTGTGTGCATTTAAAAAGCATATGAATGAGTTGGAACAAACCTTGAATAGAAAGTAGCATATAAATATATGATCGTGAATTGATGTTTTCAGAGGGAATAGGTAGCTGGCTTTTTGGCAGAATCAGGCATGCCTTAGGAATTGGTAATGCTCACTTGTTACATATTTTGGACTTTGCTTTCTTTACTATACAGACCATTAGAAAGTTTATTATTATGTTTGCTGTTGGTTTTTTAAATCAAATTGAATCTTTATAACACTTTAAGAAAAGAGGAAACTAACGTTATCTTATTATGTTGAATGTATGCAAAACATATATGTCATGCAATTCAAATTCACGCTTACTGGTGTATGGTAAATTAACATGAATGTGTGATGATACTGATAATAAGTGGCTGCTTAACATCCAGTGACAAGTTTAATCATGTTCAGGCTGATAACATGTTTACCCAGACTGATTTTTGTCTTGCCTTGACAGAGTCAAAAAGCGAAACATATGTTTCCGGTGGCGGCGACGGCAGTGGCGGCGACAGCAGTGGCGGCAGCGTCAACAATGTATTAGTTTGTGATTAGGTCTAGTTCATGGTGAACCACTAGTGGTAGGTCAATGATATTTGGTATGCAGTTGTATTAGCATTGGCACATCTCATTACCATGGAGATTATTTGGCCCCGCCTCTCAGTCAAGGTCTATTGACTTTGAAACTTTTCATAGTTTACATGTATTAGTTTGTGATTAGGTCAATCTATGGGGAACCACTAGTGGTAGGTCAATGATATTTGGTATACAGTTGTATAAGCATTGGCATATCTCATTTCCATGGAAATTATGTGGCTCTGCCCCCTTAGTCATGGCCTATAGACTTTGAAAATTTTGCCAAGTTAACATGTATTAGTTTGTGAATAGGTCAGTTCAAGGGGAACCATTAGTGGTAGGCCAATGTTAATTGGTGTTCAGTTGTATAAACATTAGCACATCTCATTTCCATAGAGAATATTTGGCCCCGCCCCCTCAGTCATGGTCTATTTACTTTGAAACTTTTGCTTAGTTTACATGTATTAGTTTGTGATAAGATCAGTTTGAGATGAACTGCTAATGTTAAGTTAATGATATTTGGTATGCAAATTTATTGGCATTTGCAAGTATCGTTTCAATGAAGATTATATAGCCCCACCCCTGATCATGGTTCATTGACTTTGAAACTTTTACATAGTTTACAAGTTAATGTTTGTGTTTAGGTTTGTTTAAAGGGAATGACATAATAAGTCAATTGTATTTGGTATGCAGTTGTATTAGCATTGGCACATCTCATTCCATGGAGATTGTTTAGCCATGTACCTTCAGTCATGGTTCATTGACTTTGAATATTTGCATAACTTACATGTTAAAGTATTGCTATTTTGATTTCAACATTTGCATTATCAAAATTACAAAAAGGCGAGACATATCTCTGTGATAACATGCAGTTTATTCTTACTGCATGCTGACCGGTCTTTGATCTTACACTTAAATGCAGCTTGCTTAAAGGAGAAGCAGTGAATTCTAATTTTGAAGTCTTTGGTTTGAACTGGCTGGGCATTGAACCCAAGAAAATATGCACTCAGATGGAGCAGGCTACTTTGGAGACCATAGAGGTGGTCTATGATTATGAATTAGGAAGATTTGCTATTGATTGATTGATTGTTGGTGTTTAATGCCCATTTCAGCACTATTGGCTATTTTGTGGAGGTAAGTTTTTATTCGTGGAGGAAGCTAGAGTGCCTGGAGAAAACCACAGACCTTCAGCAGGAAAACTGACTATCCTAGCTATATATATATAGTCAATTAAGGTTGGAATCTAAATGCACCTGCCACGTGCTTGGTTTCGAACTCACAAATTCAGTGTTTACAGGCTAATTAAATTCTTAGAACACTCTGCCTCCGAGGCCCAATGATTTACAGATACCAGACTTTTAATTTGTTATCTCTGTTATGTTTAGTTCATTAACCGATTTTAATGTTATTATACTAGTGGTACAATAATTGTTTTATTGTTGTCTTTCTTTGCAATTGGCAGCTATATATATTTCTGTTTAAAATTGAGTAGTAACATCTTTGGGCTTCAATAGCGCTGAAAATTTCCAAAAATTAGGAAAAGCATTGATACATTGTAGCATAAATAGTAATTGTATATTCAGAATAAAGGCTGATATTAGCTTATGCTCTGGCTTGAAGGCATTATTTACTGTGCTGTTGTTTTAAGTGACAACATTTGGGATATAACTCAGATTTTAACCAGAAAATTGTTAGTTTTGGGAACATTTTGCTATTTGAAATAGAGCATGAATATCACTCAGAACTTATTTTGCAAGCTTCTTGTTCTATTTATATATTACCAATGGGACATAAATTTCTTAAATTTCCTGCATGCTAACATTGTATGGCTTTATTACCAATGAAATGAAAAGTAACTATTTTAAACGTAAACTTCAATATTTTATTAAATGCATAGATTCAAAATTAAATTCTTCTAATAAATAAAATATTTAAATACATTTGAAAAGAGGGCTAAAATGGCCCAAATTCTTACCTTCTATGAAAAATCCTGTATAGGTCAAATTGTTTAAGGAACTTAAACAACCTAATTGTTTTTGTCGAGCCTTCGACTTTAGTCGAAAAAGCGAGACATAGCGATCCTACATTCCGGCGGCGTCCACAAATATTCACTCTGTGGTTAAAGTTTTTAAAATTTTAATAACTTTCTTAAACTATCCTGGGTTTGTACCAAACTTGGACAGAAGCTTGTTTATGATCATAAGTTAGTATCCAGAAGTAAATTTTGTAAAAAAATAAATCCATTTTTTCCTTATTTTACTTTTAAATGGACTAAGATTTTCTGCCAGGAAACAACACATTCACTCTGTGGTTAAATTTTTTCAAAATTTTAATAACTTTCTTAAACTATTTTGGATTTGTACCAAACTTGGACAGAAGCTTGTTTATGATCAAAAGCTAGTATCTAGAAGGAAATTTTGTAAAAAAAATCAATCCATTTTTTCCATTTTTTATTTACTTTTAAATGGACTTAGATTTTCTGCCAGGAAACAACACATTCACTCTGTGGTTAAAGTTTTTAAAATTTTAATAACTTTCTTTTACTATTTTGGATTTGTACCAAACTTGGACAGAAGCTTGTTTATGATCAAATGCTAGTATCTAGAAGGAAATTTTGTTTTCTTCCAGTTAACATTACATTCAGTCTGCAGTTAAAGTTTTTAAACATTTATAAGATTCATAAACTATCCTAGATTTTTACCAAACTTGGACAGAAGCTTCTTACAATCAAAAGATAGTATCAAGAGGAATATTTTTATTGATTTACTTCCTCATTTTTGTTGAGCCTGCGAATTAACAGAAAAAGTAGGCGAGACACTGGGTTCCGCGGAACCCTTACGAATTTTTTTCAATCACTAATGCCTCGTGGTTCTTTATAGATGTCTTTAGGAATTTTTATACGACCGCAAAAAATTTTTTGGGATGGTATAATGGTATGATGTCATCGTCTTCTGCGTCTGCGTCGTCGTCTGAAGACACATTGGTTTCCGGACAATAACTTAAGTTTAAGTGAATGGATCTCTGTGCAATTTTTGAAGAAGGTTCAATACCACAAAAGGAAGGTTGGGATTGATTTTGGGGATGATGGTCCCAACCATTTACGAATTAGAGGCCCAAAAAGGGGCCCAAAACAAGCATTTTTCTAGTTTCGGGATAATAACTTGTGTATAAGTATTTCGATTGCTCTGAAATTGTACCACAATGTTTAATACCACAAGTAGAAGGTTGGGATTCATTTTGGGGGTTAGGGGGCCAACAGTTTAGGAATTAAGGGCCAAAAAGGGGCCAAAAACAAGCATTTTTCTAGTTTCCAGACAATAACTTGTGTGCAAGTGTATGGATATCTCTGACATTGTACCACAAGGTTCCATATAACAAAGGGAAGGCTGGGATCGAGTTTGGGGTTAAAGGCCCCAAACATGTAGGAATTAGGGGCCAAAAAAAGGCCAAAAACAAGCATTTTTCTAGTTTCCAGACAGTAACTTGTGTGTAAGTGTATGGATCTCTCTGAAATTGTACTACAAGGTTCCATAGTATGATACTACAAAGGAAAGGCTGGGATTGAGTTTTGGGGTTAATACTCCAAGGGGGGTTTCAAAAAGTTGGGGGGGGGGGGGGAATATTTTTCCTAATTTTTTTAAGGGATTCATATTTTTTTTCAAAATTTTTAAAATTTCAAATTTTTGAAAAGTTTCAAGAAGAAATCTTCAATTGCACAGTATTGCGCAATGGATTTATAAGATCTTTGACAACATTTATTTTGTGTGAGAAACCTATATTATGTCAAAAATTTGATCACAATCCAAATTCAGACAGTATCAAGCTTGAATATTGTGTCCAAATTTGTTCAGGGTTCCACCTCTGCGGTCGAATCAGTCTGCGTTCAGCGAAGCATTTTATTTGTATTTTGCTGCACACCAAAATTTGGTTCACACGTACACACAGACAAATTCTATTCTGTTCCGAGTCAGGAGCCTGTAATTCAGTGGTTGTCAGCTGTTACCAGTCATTTCCAAGGTCCGTCAGACATGCGGCAATGTCCAGTAATAAATGGTTTGGTCCAGTAAAATTTCATCAATTACTGGACCAAATGACCAGTGTAAATGTAAGAATTTGTAATACTCATAATTTAAAAGACTACTAAACCACTGACTGGACGAGTAATGCTTGAACAATTACTGCCAATACTGGACCAAAAGACCACTGAGGTAAAAAAAAAACCTTCAGAACCTCTGTGTTACTGTTTATCATCTTTTTTTTTGTTTGTTGTTTTGAACATAAATCTGGTTGTTGGTTTTCTCATTTGAATTGTTTTAAATTTTGTTATGTGAGGACCTTTTACGCTTGCTATGCTGTATAGGTTTTGTTGCAGGCTTTACTGCAATCTATAGTTGCTATAAACATATACGTCATTTTGTCACGATATTGGTAATATTACCACATCTCTTTATTTTATATTTATTGGATAGAAGAATGACCGTTAATGATATTTCATATACAAACAATAAAAATATTGTTTACACATATTAGTGATATTACAAATTGATAGAGGCATTGAAACGATTTCAAGCATAGCAATTTTACTGAATTTTCACCCAAAACATTCCTTCATTGGTATCACATATGTATTATTTTATAAAAGTTCAGTATGTTTATTGGGGCCTCGGTGGCCGAGTGGTCTAAGTAGTCGAACTACTGTATCACTAGGCAGTCAACACTGAGGTTGTGAGTTTGAATCCGGCAAGGGGCAGGTGCACTCGACTCCAATCTTAATTGACTAGGATTGTCAGTTTTTCTACCGGTGGTTCTCCAGGCACTACGTCTTCCTCCACCAATTAAAACTGACTGCCAGGAAATAGCACAATAGTGTTGAAAGTGGTGTTAAACACCAATCAATCAATCAATCAATCAGTATGTTTATTAACAGTGGCTATAATTTGCTTTTGATTTCATGGTTGCATCATTGCTATATATATGCTTTTTGCAATTCAATATTTGTTAGTATGCTGTTATTACTAATATTATGTACATATACATATACATGTGTTTTAAATTTTTACTATCTATCATGCCTTTTGGGTGTATTTTTATGAATTTGCATTTTAATTACCACCATAGATATGGGTTGCTGGTCATGTGCTTAATTTGCATATAATACCTTATCACAAATTATTATTTTTTTATATTATTATGTGTTTGCTTTGATTGATTAATGTTATTCATATTAATTTCAAATTGTTGACATATTTGCCATGGCAAAGAAATTGTGTGTTGAACCTTTCAGAAACACATATGTATTTTGTTTCAATTCAACCATATTATTGTAAAAAAAAATATGTTTCCAAAAAGTTGAATGTTGTCTCTGTCTTTTACATGTTGTACCAGTACCATTATCTGCATTTTCATCTACTAAAGATAAAATATACATATGTCAGACATTTATTATTAATGATGAACAAAACAAAATATCCACATGATTTTCCAATATATGGTAAGGCTGATCACAACCTTAAATGACATGACACCTAATTAAATAAACAGCTGATCACAACTTGTGCATGCTAAGCCTTAATTGACATGACACCTATTTAAATAAACAGCTGATCACAACTTGTGCATGCTTAGCCTTAAATGACATGACACCTATTTAAATAAACAGCTGATCACAACATGCGCATGCTTAGCCTTAAATGACATGACACCTATTTAAATAAACAGCTGATCACAACTTGCGCATGCTAAGCCTTAAATGACATGACACCTACTGTAAATTCAGAAATTATTGCGATGTTTTTATTATTGCGAAAAATGCGACAGGGTTATAATCGCATTAATTTAAACTCTCATTTTGAAATTTTTTATATGAATTAAACATGATTTTTTTCTCAATATCGCAAATATTAAAATCGCATTTTAGTTTAAAATGACAAAATCGCAATAATAAATGCACGCAATAATTTCTGAATTTACAGTATTTAAATAAACAGCTGATCACAACTTGTGCATGCTAAGCCTTAAATGACATGACACCTATTTGAATAAACAGCTGATCACAACTTGTGCATGCTAAGCCTTTAATGACATGACACCTATTTGAATAAACAGCTGATCACAACTTGTGCATGCTAAGCCTTAAATGACATGATAGTCTTACAATAAGGTCCTTTTTGAGTTCATGTCATCACACTGAACATTTTCCTGAGGTCAACACTTGATGGTCATGGTCATAGTCAATTCTGACTGAGGATATACTGTAAATTCATGAATTTCTGCTTGCATTTATTATAGTGATGGTTGAAAAAAAATGGACAAAATTAATTGTGAATATTGAACAATGAACACATTTATTGTAATTGTTGACCAATGGAAAAAAATAGTTACTGTAAATTCAGAAATTATTGAGAGGTGTTTATTAAAGCGAATAATTCTACTGGGTGAATATCGATATCGCAATACATGTAATAAGAACTCGCATTCTGATATCTGATACATATATCTGTATGCAGATTTTCCTGAAATCACGATAATTAATCTTGCATTTTTGTCCATTTTTCAAAAATTGCAATAATTTCTGAATTTACAGTATATCAAAATTTAATATGTGAGTTCTTATTTTTGGAATTTTTTTAATTAATCAAGAATCATTGATGAACACAACAGAACAAAATTTGACTGTACCGGTACTGTGTTGATTTCAATGGTGTTGTTCTATTTTACAGTTTAATAATTAAGTTAAAACAACTTTCAAGTTCTGAATTGAGTTGTAAATGTGATATTGACTATTTTTCAGATGTTATTAACGGTGTCACACAGGAATGTGCCTTAACTGCTGAAGATAAACAGCTCTTTCCCAACTGTGAAGGGAAAGTTATGGTATGAAATTATTTATAAGTGTCTATTCCAGTGTGGCAAACAGAATGCCTTTTAGTCGGATCTTGTTTAAACTGTGTACTGGTGTATTGACAGAAAGTCCAAAAAGAAGTCAATACATTTTTATGGCTATTTGATATCGTGGTTTTGCCAAAGTCTGCATATAAGCCTATAGAAAATTTGTACTTTGTTAAACTTTTAAATTCTGGGTTCACCTATACCCATGAAATCTAGAAAGTTTTTATCCCATGAATAATAGTGAATCCACTATATTGTTGATGACTTGGTTTGTATCTGGGATGTGGATAAATGCTTAATAGAGACATCCCAACTAAAGACATTACTGAGACTTACCTATTATCTAGGCAATCAATTTGTAAGGCCAATGGAAGAAGTACACCACTAGTGCATGGTCCCATTGCTTTCTATGTTAAATTCCTCAATTTCAAGCAGACACAGCTCTTTTGTCTTAAGTTCAAATAAAGTGACAATCACAGCATGGTGTCTTCTACTGAAAAAAAATCAACATACCTTTAATTACATATAAGAGAGACAGAGATGCAAACAGTTTTTTTTTCTGTTAGATATTGGGGCCTACAGGGTAGCAAGTTTTGTCGGACCCATCAATTTTTTGCCAGACCTACATTTTTTTATATCAGCTTTTTATACAGTAAGAGAAAGAAGATAGGATGTCTTTACAGTGACAGCTGCTTTAGTGGATTGTTTTTAGAAAATATCTAAAATTCAATTGAGTTCTTTTATTTGATAATTACTAATTTTTTATACGACCGCAAAAAAATTTTTGTGGTCGTATATTGGTATGACGTTGGCGTCGTCGTCGTCGTCGTCCTCGTCGTCGTCCGAAGACACATTGGTTTTCGCACTCTAACTTTAGTTTAAGTTAATGGATCTCTATGAAATTTTACCACGAGGTTCAATACCACAAAAGGAAGGTTGGGATTGATTTTGGGGGTTATGGTACCAACAGTAAAGGAATTAGGGACCAAAAAGGGGCCAAAAATAAGCATTTTTGTAACTTCCAGACATAACTTGTGTGTTAGTGTATGGATCTCTCTGACATTGTACCACAAGGTTCCATATCACAAAAGGAATGCTGGGATTGGTTTTGGGGGTAATTGCCTCAAAATTTTAGGAATTAGGGGCCAAAAAAGGGGCAAAAAACAAGCATTTTTCTAGTTTCATGACAATAACTTGTGTGTAAGTGTATGGCTCTTTCTGAAATTGTACTACAAGGTACCATATCACAAAGGGAAAGCTGGAATTGAGTTTGGGGGTAATTGCCGAAACGTTTAGGAATTGGGGGCCAAAAAGGGGCCAAAAATAAGCATTTTTCTAGTTTCCAGACAATAACTTGTGTTCAAGTGTATGGATCTCTCTGAAATTGTACTGCAAGGTACCATACCACAAAGGGAAGGCTGGGATTGATGATGGGGGTAATTGCCTCAATATTTTAGGAATTAGGGGCCAAAAAGGGGCAAAAAACAAGCATTTTTCTAGTTTCAGGACAATAACTTGTGTGTAAGTGTATGGATCTTTCTGAAATTGTACTACAAGGTTCCATATCACAAAGGGAAAGCTGGGTTTGAGTTTGGGGGTAATTGCCCTAAACGTTTAGGAATTTGGGGCCAAAAAAGGGCCAAAAAACACATTTTTCTAGTTTCCAGACAATAACTTGTGTTCAAGTGTATGGATCTGTCTGAAATTGTACTGCAAGGTACCATACCACAAAGGGAAGGCTTAAATTGAGTTTGGGGGTGATGAATCATAAGGGGGTTCAAAAAATTTGGGGGGGGGGATTTTTTTTTTTTTCCTTTTTTTTTTCTTTTAAAATTTTCCATTTTAAGTTGGTTATTTCTGATTGATATTTAAAAGCAGATAATAATGATATTGTAGGAGATACACACCAAACAGGATGTTTAAATTATTATATAATAAGTATTGTGCAATAGCAAGAAATTTTCAATTGCACAGTATTGCACAATAGCAAGAAATCTTCAATTGCACAGTATTGCGCAATAGCAGGAAATCTTCAATTGCACAGTATTGCTCAATAGCTAGAAATATCCAATAGCACAATATTGCGCAATAGCAAGAAATTGTCAATTGTACAGTATTGCGCAATAGCAAGAAATATTTAATTGCACAGTATTGTGCAAAAGAAGATACTTCGTATAAATTGCTTATTTCTTGACCAATTTCAATGGGGTTTTATTCTTGAATTCTTGGGGTTCTTTAATATGCTGAATCTAACCGTGTATTTAGTTTTTGGATTTTGGGCCCCATTTTTAAATTGGTCCATATTGAGGTCCAAAGGGTCCAAAATTTAAACTTTGTTTGATTTCATCAAAAATTGAATTATTGGGGTTCTTTGATATGCCGAATCTAACCGTGTATTTAGATTCTTAATTTTTGGTTCCGTTTTCAAATTGGTCTACATTAAGGTCCAAAGGGTCCAAAATTAAACTTAGTTTGATTTTAACAAAAATTAAATTCTTAGGGTTCTTTGATATGCTGAATCTAAACATGTATTTAGATTTTTGATTATGGGCCCAGTTTTCAAGTTGGCCCAAATCGGGGTCCAAAATTAAACTTTGTTTGATTTCAACAAAAATTGAATATATGGGGTTCTATGATATGCTGAATATAAAATGTATTTAGATTTTTTATTTTTGGGCCCCGTTATCAACTTTGTCCACATTGAGGTCAAAAGGGTCCAAAATTAAACTTTGTTTGATTTCATCAAAAATTGAATTCTTGGGGTTCTTTGATATGCTGAATCTAACCATGTATTTAGATTTTGGATATTGGACCATAATAGGTGAATGTCCAATTTAAAATTTTTAAGTTCTTAGACCACATTCATTCTGTGTCAGAAACCTATGCTGTGTCAAATATTTAATCACAATCCAAATGCAAAGCTGTATCAAGCTTGAATGTTGTGTCCATACTTGCCCCAACTGTTCAGGGTTCGACCTCTGCGGTCGTATCAAGCTGCGCCCTGGGGAGCATTTTATTTTATTGTGTACCACTGAACTGCAGGCTAGGGCCATTCTCCATTTTTTTGACAGTTCTCTAAGATTTTTAATTGATTACAACTTTCTCAGGAAAGTGAGGACTGAAAAGTCAATTCAGTTTTAAATTTCCCTCTTTAAAGTTCCCAGTTACAACTCTCATCACAGGGATACATGTACTTACAAAAAATCAATCAGATTGATATATATGCTGTGTGCAGCTTGTTTCCAGATCTTACTTTTTGTTATCCTTGTATATTTTGATATATTTGTAAATTGCATGAATAAATATGTTTAAACTTCAAAAAGCAACATTTGAAAATTTTATAATTTTTTTACCATTATGTTGGTACACAAAATTTTGTTTTAATGGAAGACTACTTTTCATATAATAAATGTCACATTTTAAGTGTTCAGATACATTAACTTTTATTTTGGTGAATAATTACTCATCAATTGAGGTGCTCCTTTATTGGAAGAAGATTCGCAATACAGTTACAGTTACAGAAAGAATGAAAACTGCCGTTTTTCTCTCCAATCTCATGTATCCCCATTGTTTACCGCGAAAGTTGACCAACAAAGCATTGATGTTTGAATCATATGATCTACAGCAAACATACTAACTAACTTTAATTAATAAATTTTCAACAAGGCAAATTTCAATTCCCCACTCAATAGGTTAGCACCAAAAATGCTAAATCTTACTAAAATCCTAGAGAACTGTCTGCTGGTCATTAGGTCTTGCACAAAAGCCAAATTTGCCAGACCTACTCAATTTCTGCCCCCTCGGGCCGACAGGTCCGACGATAAGTTGCATCTCTGGAGAGAACTCAGGTTCGCAGAACTTCGGATGTACCAAAACAGGTTCTTCAGATTTGCCTCGACCAAATGTTATGAAACTTATACACAATTCTTATTTCTACAAAACACAGATCAAGATTGAATTTTGGTGGCGTCACTTTTACCGTTCTAGAGTTATGCCCCTTTACAAATGGAAAAATTGCTGAAATATTCGTTTCTGTTCTCTTAAACTTAAGTTTGCCTCAATTAAATGTTATGAAACATAAACACAATGCTTATTATCACAAAACTCAGATCAAGTACAAATTTGGGTAGTGTCACATTTACAGTTCTTGACTTATGTCCCTTTTTAACGTTATATGCAAGTGGGGGCATCATCTGTGTCCCATGGACACATTCCCCATTTATTTCATTATTATTCACATGAGATTTAAATATATTCAATTACCTCTAGGGTAATTGTTTGATACAGTGTCACAATGAAACCTTTTCAAAATGCTAGCCAAATATCCATTTACCAATAAAAAGTGCCAGACATATGTCGAGTAAATTTTCATGTATTAAAAAGAAATTTCTGTATGAAATACGAAAGGTTGGAAATATTTGCCGCAGCTTGAAATATAGAGATGTCTTGGTCACACAAAAAAAGAAGAAAATAAATAAATGAAATACATGTAAGATGTTTTCATAATAAGGGCCATACATACTAAACTTATGTGGAATCAGTAAATTTAAAAACTGCTTTTTATGAGCCACAAATCCTTAAAACAACAAAATGACATATAGCTATGTACAATGCCATTTATTTGTTACAATGCTGAATTCCAGAATTGTTGTTAATTAAGGATCAAATACTTTTTGTAGAGTTGTAAGTCTGTAAATGAATCTTTTTGTACCATTTTGTGTGTACATAATTAATTTCCAGAAATACTAAAGATATAACTAAAAAATCCAGCAAAAGTTCTCTGATTAATAGAGTTAGCCCCTTGGTAACATTAATTATATGGAAAATTGTGTTATACATGTTGTAAGTGCTCTCACATGTACAATTCTTGCCAGATTTTTATCAATTAATATCAAAGGTTAATATCAGCAATGTATTGATCACTTTCAAAAAACAGTGTGGATTGACTTTTTTTTTTAAAGGGATATACCCCTTAGAAATATTAATTATATGGGAAATTGCACTGAAAGTGCTCGCAAACCTACATTTCTCTGAGGTATTTATAAAAAGTATTTGAGAAGAAAAGCCTATTATTTTTAGTTATTTCCCTTGGACAGATAAAATATGTGATGGGCTACATTGGAATATTTTCCATTAATTAATATTCTATTCTGTTTGTTACAGTGGATGAGGCAGATGTGGACATCAGATCCATGTTATGGAGGGTATGGTGTGGATGGCTCAGAATGCTCGTTTGTTATGTACCTCAGTGAAGTAAGTTGGTAGCTAATTGGATTAATGGGCTACTTAACATAGGGCTGTTTCTAAATTGATTGTGGGTGGGGTATGGGAGGCACCTAAATTAATTAATTGTGGGTGGTTGCATTTTCCTTAGAATTTTGGAAGAATTTGAGTAAAATAAAAATATTTATATTAAGCATGGTTGGGGTCCAAAAAAAAATAATTCCTATGTCTCCCATGCATTTAATTCTGGAACAGCTCTTAGATTGTACTCAAAAATGGTTTTCAATAATGAAAATAGACCATGGGATAGGGTAAAACACAAAACAGTACTATAGTCTTGTTATTTACCAAGCCTCATGGCATCTGTATGGAATAAAACTAAGAAGTGGTACAGTAATAAATTGGCTTTGTGTTTGCCAACAAACGACCTTTAAAAACATGAAAGCCAATGCAAGGTCATAAACATAGAATACAGACAACATAACATTCTTACTTTGTACTATTAACAACAGTATTTTAATATTGCTTAGCTTAAATTAATTAACAAAATATTTGATCAATTGAAGTACAGGAGGTCATAGGTTAAATCCTTGACCAGTTCCAACTGAATTCTTTAAAATAGTACAACTTATTCTCCCCTACATGAATAGGGCTAGTAGGAAGACCTAAGCATGGTCAATTCAAATGTTACTGAGGAGGGAAGACTTTTACCTTTTACATCTACATTGTACAATTACCCAACAACACACTGATGACTGTACATTAAAACCCTACGACAAATGTTTGTCTAAGGGCTGTTCCAGATTTAAATGGATGGGGGAGGGGTTAATGGGAGGCACTTTTTTTTTTACTTTTCGCTTTACTTATAATTCCAACAAAGTTCTAAGGAAAATACAACCACCCATATGTTATTAATTTGTGTGCTTCCCATCCCCACACCTTATAAATTTTGGAACAGCCCTTATTCTAATTTTGAATATGGATAATCAAACAGTTGACAGAAAAAAAAGTCATAAAAAAATTTACTTATGAATATTAAATGTGATATTAGAGGAAAGTATGCAACTAAAATTTTACAAATGTTTTGATATTTTCACAGGTTGAAGGATGGTGTCCCAAGAAAGCATGGAGAGGAAAAGTACAGATACTTCAAGAAGATACAAAATTGATAAGATATGTAAGAAAAAGAGTTTTTTATTTCATCTTTTTCATTTCAAGGAAAAAATTTAAAAAGGAATTTCAATCTGTCCTGAACCATTCAAAAACTGTCGACAGTTTCTGTAAAGAAATAGCATTTACTGTGGATTCATTTATTTCCGTGGGTACCAATTTTCATGGATTCAAGAAAACTTGCATTTTCATGGATATTTAATTTCATGGTTTTGCTGAAGTCTGCATACAAGCATATAGAAAATTTGTCATTCGTTGAACATTTAATTTCGTGGTTCACCTTTACCCAAGAATTCCACCAAAATTGGTTTCTAACGTATAATACTAAATCCACAGTATAGGAATTTAGGAGATATGATGTAATTGTATTTGCCAATATAACAAATTAATCTAAACTCTACTCTTGGTATTTAATGCTAAGATGAGCCTACATGTAAGCTGTATTCTCCCCAGGCAGATATGACGCTGTGGTCTTTCATAATTAATTGCCGAAAATAAATATTGAATTTTCTCATTGGTCAATTATAACAATCTATTTTGATACAACCAATGAGCGTGATGAAAACACGAGGTAACTTGCAATTCACAACTACAAATATTTAGGAAGTGCCTGTCTTTGTTACTTTGAATAGGAAAATTTAAATAAAAGGATATGGTAAAGGCTTGAGACGAGTTGGTTGCTACCAAGCTTTAGACAGAAAATAAATTCATTATTCAAGTTTGGAATTGTCAGGATCCATCAAAGAGGCCTTCACTATAACTGAAAATTGAAAATTATGCAGGATTGAACACTATTAGTTAATAATTTAATACCAAACCTACTAAAATCAAATGTTGATATAGCCTGTTAATTCAGAAATTATTGCGAAGTTTTTATTAATTGAAATAATGCAATTTGGTGAGTATCACTATAATATATACTCCCAATTCTGATATTTGATACACTGTATGTAGCCATTCTTAAAATTGCAATAGTTAATCTTGCATTTTTATTCATTCTTCAAAAATGGCAATGATAAATAATTTCTGGATTTGCAGTATAATCTTGCAGAGTAATAATACTTTCATGATGCAAGCAAAAATCCCCCTATTATGAATTTATCTCTTTCAGGCTAATATAAGTACAGATATAGAAGAATTAATGAAAGTATTGGTAGATCCGAATGAAAGACAGGGATATGCTTGGATCAGAATGAGAATACGGAGAATGTGGCCAAGGTTTAGTAAAGCTATGAAAAGTCTCCAATTAAAACAAGATATGAATGGCAGGAGGAAGAAAAAGGTAATACATATTTAGATATTTCTCTTTATGATGCCCGTTGCAGGAGAAAGAGTCCTATTAATTTTAAGGTCAATACCCCAAAGTATTAGGTCAACTATAATTTGATAAGATCCCTATTGATTTTGAAGTCACTTGTTCTAATGTCAAGGGCATAGTTGCTAAAAACCGATTGTATAAGACCATATTACTATCTAAAACCATATTAGAAATGGATTATACACTGAATTAAGAGAAAAAACTATGGCATCTGTTCATTTTAAGTTTTTATACGACCGCAAAAAAGTTTTTGTGGTCGTATATTGGTATGACGTTGGCATCGTCGTTGTCGTCGTCGTCCAAAGACACATTAGTTTTCGCACTCTAACTTTAGTTTAAGTGAATGGATCTCAATGAAATTTTACCATAAGGTTCAATACCACAAAAGGAAGGTGGGGATTGATTTTGGGGGTTATGGTACCCACAGTTAAGGAATAAGGGGCCAAAAAGGGGCTCAAAATAAGCATTTTTGTAACTTCCATACATAACTTGTGTGTAAGTGTATGGATCTCTCTGACATTGTACCACAAGGTTCCATATCACAAAGGAAATGCTGGGATTGATTTTGGGGGTAATTGCCTCCAAATTTTAGGAATTAGGGGCCAAAAAGGGGCAAAAAACAAGCATTTTTCTAGTTTCATGACAATAACTTGTGTGTAAGTGTATGGATCTCTCTGACATTGTATCACAAGGTTCCATATCACAAAGGGAATGCTGGGATTGATTTTGGGGGTAATTGCCTCCAAATTTTAGGAATTAGGGGCAAATTTAAAAAAGAGGCAAAAAACAAGCATTTTTGTCGAGCCTTCGACTTTAGTCGAAAAAGCGAGACATAGCGATCCTACATTCTGTCGGCGTCGGAGTCGTCGTCGTCGTCGTCGTCGGCGGCGTCCACAAATATTCACTCTGTGGTTAAAGTTTTTGAAATTTTAATAACTTTCTTAAACTATCCTGGATTTCTACCAAACGTGGACAGAAGCTTGTTTATGATCATAAGATAGTATCCAGAAGTTAATTTTGTAAAAATAAAATTCCATTTTTTCCGTATTTTACTTATAAATGGACTTAGTTTTTCTGCCAGAAATATTACATTCACTCTGTGGTTAAAGTTTTTAAAATTTTAATAACTTTCTTAAACTATCCTGGGTTTCTACCAAACTTGGACAGAAGCTTGTTTATGATCATAAGATAGTATCCAGAAGTAAATTTTGTAAAAAAAAAAATCCATTTTTTCCTTATTTTACTTTTAAATGGACTTAGATTTTCTGCCAGGAAACAACACATTCACTCTGTGGTTAAAGTTTTTAAAATTTTAATAACTTTCTTTTACTATTTTGGATTTGTACCAAACTTGGACAGAAGCTTGTTAATGATCTAAAGCTAGTATCTAGAAGGAAATTTTGTAAAAAAATAAATCTATTTTTTCCGTATTTTACTTTTAATGGACTTAGATTTTCTGCCAGGAAACAACACATTCACTCTGTGGTTAAAGTTTTTAAAATTTTAATAACTTTCTTGTACTATTTTGGATTTGTACCAAACTTGGTCAGAAGCTTGTTTATGATCAAATGCTAGTATCTAGAAGGAAATTTTGTTTTCTTCCAGTTAACATTACATTCAGTCTGCAGTTAAAGTTTTTAAACATTTATTAGATTCATAAACTATCCTGGGTTTTTACCAAACTTGGACAGAAGCTTCTTACAATCAAAAGATAGTATCAAGAGGAATATTTTTATTGATTTACTTCCTCATTTTTGTTGCGCCTGCGATTAACAGAAAAAGTAGGCGAGACACTGGGTTCCGCGGAACCCTTACGAATTTTTCTAGTTTCATGACAATAACTTGTGTGTAAGTGTATGGATCTTTATGAAATTGTACCACAAGGTTCCATATCACAAAGGGAAAGCTGGAATTGAGTTTTGGGGTAATTGCCCAAAAAGTTTAGGAATAAGGGGCCAAAAAGGGGCCAAAAATAAGCATTTTTCTAGTTTCCAGACAATAACTTGTGTTCAAATGTATGGATCTCTCTGAAATTGTACTGCAAGGTACCATACCACAAAGGGAATGCTGGGATTGATTTTGGGGGTAATTCCCTCAAAATTTTAGTAATTAGGGGCCATAAAAGGGCAAAAAACAAGCATTTTTCTAGTTTCATGACAATAACTTGTGTGTAAGTGTATGGATCTTTATGAAATTGTACTGCAAGGTTCCATATCACAAAGGGAAAGCTGGAATTGAGTTTGGGGGTAATTGCCCTAAACGTTTAGGAATTTGGGGCCAAAAAACAAGCATTTTTCTAGTTTCCAGACAATAACTTGTGTTCAAGTGTATGGATCTCTCTGAAATTGTACTGCAAGGTACCATACCACAAATGGAAAGCTGGGATTGAGTTTGGGGGTGATGAATCATAAGGGGGTTCAAAAATTTTGGGGGGGATTTTTTTTTCATTTTTTATACGACCGCAAAAATTGAAAATTTTTTGGTCGTATATTGGTATGACGTTGGCGTCGTCGTCGTCGTCGTCGTCGTCGTCTGGCGTCGTCCGGCGTCGTCCGAAGACACATTGGTTTTCGCACTCTAACTTTAGTTTAAGTGAATGGATCTCCATGAAATTTTACCATAAGGTTCAATACCACGAAAGGAAGGTTGGGATTGATTTTGGGGGTTATGGTACCAACAGTTAAGGAATTAGGGGCCAAAAAGGGGCCAAAAATAAGCATTTTTGTAACTTCCAGACAATAACTTGTGTGTAAGTGTATGGATCTCTCTGACATTGTACCACAAGGTTCCATATCACAAAGGGAAGGCTGTAATTGATTTTGGGGGTAATTGCCTAAAAATTTTAGGAATTAGGGGCCAAAAAAGGGGCAAAAAACAAGCATTTTTCTAGTTTCATGACAATAACTTGTGTGTAAGTGTTTGGATATTTCTGAAATTATACTACAAGGTTCCATATCACAAAGGGAAAGCTGGAATTGAGTTTGGGGGTAATTGCCCGAAACGTTTAGGAATTGGGGGCCAAAAAGGGGCCAAAAATAAGCATTTTTCTAGTTTCCAGACAATAACTTGTGTGCAAGTGTATGGATCTCTCTGAAATTGTACTGCAAGGTACCATACCACAAAGGGAAGGCTGGGATTGAGTTTGGGGGTGATGAATCATAAGGGGGTTCAAAAAATTTGGGGGGGGGGGGGGGGGGGGGGTTTTCTTTTTTTTTCTTTTTTTCCTTTTTTTTTTCTTTTAAAATTTTCCATTTTAAGTTGGTTATTTCTGATTAATATTTAAAAGCAAAATAATAATGATATGGTAGGAGATACACACCAAACAGGATGTGTAAATTATTATATAATAAGTATTGTGCAATAGCAAGAAATTTTCAATTGCACAGTATTGCACAATTGCAAGAAATCTTCAATTGCACAGTATTGCGCAATAGCAAGAAATCTTCTATTGCACAATAGCTAGAAATATCCAATAGCACAATATTGCCCAATAGCAAGAAATTGTCAATTGTACAGTATTGCACAATAGCAAGAAATATTCAATTGCACAGTATTGTGCAAAAGAAGATACTTCGTATAAATTGCTTATTTCTTGATCAATTTCAATGGGGTTTTATTCTTGAATTCTTGGGGTTCTTAAATATGCTGAATCTAACCGTGTATTAAGTTTTTGGATTTTGGGCCCCGTTTTTAAATTGGTCCACATTGAGGTCCAAAGGGTCCAAAATTAAACTTTGTTTGATTTCATCAAAAATTGAATTATTGGGGTTCTTTGATATGCCGAATCTAACTGTGTATTTAGATTCTTAATTTTTGGTTCTGTTTTCAAATTGGTCTACATTAAGGTCAAAAGGGTCTAAAATTAAACTTAGTTTGATTTTAACAAAAATTGAATTTTTAGGGTTCTTTGATATGCTGAATCTAAACAAGTATTTAGATTTTTGATTATGGGCCCAGTTTTCAAGTTGGTCCAAATCGGGGTCCAAAATTAAACTTTGTTTGATTTCAACAAAAATTGAATATATGGGGTTCTTTGATATGCTGAATCTAACCATGTATTTAGATTTTTGATTTTTGGGCCCCGTTATCAACTTTGTCCACATTGAGGTCAAAAGGGTCCAAAATTAAACTTTGTTTGATTTCATCAAAAATTGAATTCTTGGGGTTCTTTGATATGCTGAATCTAACCATGTATTTAGATTTTTTATTTGTGGGCCCGCTATCAAATTGGTTCATATTGAGGTCAAAAGGGTCCAAAATTAAACTTTGTTTGATTTCATCAAAAATTGAAATATTGGGGTTCTTTGATATGCCAAATCCAACCATGTTTTTAGATTTTTAATTTTGGGTCCCGTTTTTTAAATTGGTCTACATTAAGGTCCAAAGGGTCCAAAATTAAACTTAGTTTGATTTTAACAAAAATTGAATTCTTGGGGTACTTTGATATGCTGAATCTAAACATGTGTTTAGATTTTTGATTATGGGACCAGTTTTCAAGTTTGTCCAAGTTGGGGTCCAAAATTAAACTTTGTTTGATTTCAACAAAAATTGAATATATGGGGTTCTTTGATATGCTGAATCTAGCCATGTATTTTGATTTTGGACATTGGACCATAATAGGTAAATTAAAAAAATTGAAGTTCTTAGACCACATTCTTTCTGTGTCAGAAACCTATGCTGTGTCAAATATTTAATCACAATCCAAATTCAGAGCTGTATCAAGCTTGAATGTTGTGTCCATACTTGCCCTAACTGTTCAGGGTTCGACCTCTGCGGTCGTATCAAGCTGCGCCCAGCGAAGCATTTTATTTTCTTTAAAATTTTACATTTTAAATTGGTTTTTTCTGATTTATATATTAAAGCAAATAATAATGATATGGTTTGAATAGGTAAATTAAAAATTTTTAAGTTCTTAGACCACTTTCATTCTGTGTGAGAAACCTATGCTGTGTCAAATATTTAATTACAATCCAAATTCAGTGCTGTATCAAGCTTGAATGTTGTGTCCATACTTGCCCCAACTGTTCAGGGTTCGACCTCTGCGGTCGTATCAAGCTGCGCCCCAGCGGAGCATTTTGTTCACCTTTATATTGGGATGTGGGTAAGTGAGCTTGCTTACTAAAGGTTCTTTAATTTATTATTGTAGATCTTGGTACATTTAGGACTCTTATCCAAACAGTCAGGATGGAAGTTTGCTGAAAGTCAGTTTAAAGGTAAAATGCAATGTGCTTAATATAATATCAATACCAAGCTTTTTATCAGAGACAATTTGACTTACTTAGGGCTGTCCCATTCAAACATACATAGTACTGAACAGGCAAAGTAATGCATTATATTACACATTACATTTAAAAAAAATTATTATCAGAAGAAACATACATAAAACATTTTATTCTGCAATCTTGGTAACTATTAAATAGATATTGTAAAACTCCTTTCATTGCCCTATAGACCAAATGACAGCAGTCAAACAAATGTGATTAGCTTCCTGAAGGTTATAATACAATTTTTTACATACATCCTTGGCCTTAGTCTGTATCAATTTAAATGAGAGATGTTTCCCGCTTGGAATTTGAAAGTTTGGGTTAAGATTTTCTATAAATTTTCTAAACTTTTGCTTTCAACTGTTGAAAATGGGAGTAAATCACTCAGTCTGTCTGTCTGTCTGTCTGTCTGTCTGTCTGTCTGTCAGTCAGGCAAATCAGTTTTCCAGACTTTTTTTCTTTCTGCTTGAAGATATTGATTTGATATTTGGTTTATTGATTTATCATGACAAGTTACAGGTCAAGTTCAATTTTCACGATTTTAGCTTTTCTCTTTGTTCAGTAAAGCCCTTTCCCTAGAATTAAATATTTGATGAAATACTTATTAATTAGTAGATTTCTGTTCAAAGGGAAATAACTCACTTTTTAAAAGACAAAATGACATTTTGGATTTTTTTCCTTTTCTTTGGTAAATTGTTTGAAGAATTTAGTGGTAGGTTTGTTGGTCATTCTTGAAGATATTGATTTGATAATTAGTATATAGTTTTATCATGACAAGTTACAGATCAAGTTGGAATTTTGTTCCAGTCTGATGATTTTGTGCAGAGTTATGGTCTTTGGACATAGAAAATTCACTTAAATAATCAGTTTTCAACAGTTTTTTTCGTCATGCTTGAGGATTTTGACTTGATTTTTTTATGTAGTTTACACCATGATAAGTTATAGATCAAGTTAGAAATTCGTTCCATTACAATGAATTTATAACCGGTCGGGGACTATGTATTGCCATGCAATACTCACAGAATGCTTGTTATCCCTGAAATTTGTAGCAATAAATAGCACTATCAGACAAGAAGTAATGCTATATAATGCCATGTAATGCATAAATTACATGCATTTTTGCCATTGTAATGTATTACATTACAATTACATGTAATGCGTAAAATTTGGGTTTTACACATTACATGCATTACTTGGGGAAATGTAATGCATTACAGGGCATTACAATTACAAATAATCATTACCCCATGCCTGGTACTGAAGGAAGTCTTTTTGAAAACTAGGTAACTGTGAGGGGAAGTTATGGTATGAAATTACTTATAAGTGTCTATTCCAATGTGGCAAACAGAATGCCTTTTAGTCAGATCTTGTTTAAACTGTATACCGGGGTATTGACAGAAAGTCCAGACAGAAGTCAATACATCTGTATTCATATTTTTCCTGTCATAGCCGACTATACGGTACGGGTTTTTATCATAGTTGAAGGTTGCCTTTAATTGCTTACATCCACTTCATTTGTACTTTGTTGGATATTTGTCTTATTGGCAATCATACCTCATCTTATTTTTATATAGAGGCAATTTTAGAATTTCTCTTACACTTTCACTATACAAAAACATCCAACCCAAAGATAAGATTTTGAAATTCCATGTATTTTTAAATAGAACACCCAAATCAATGAAAAAAGATGAATGTATTAGCTTGAAAATTGTTGATACCTCTCAATAACTACTCTTTGTCACCATCATGGTTGAAAATTGTTGATACCTCTCAATTACTACTCTTTGTCATCATCATGGTTGAAAATTATTGATACCTCTAAATTACTACTTGTCACCATCATGGTTAAAAATTGTTGATACCTCTCCATCACTACTCTTTGTCACCATCATGGTTGAAAAAATAGCATAAAAAAAGCTACTTTAAATTCAGAAATTAATGCATGCATTTATTATTGCGATTTTTTAAGAATGAACATTAATGTGAGTTTAATCATTGCGATTTTAGGAAAAGCTTCATACAGATATATGTATAAGATGTCAGAATGCTAGTCCTTATTTTTGCGATACTGGAGGAGTCGCAGTATTCGCATTAATAAAAACCTCGCAATAATTTCTGAATTTACAGTATCGACTTTAAAAATTGAAAAGTCAATTTATCCATTCATACAACATGAGTTAATCTTGTGTAATAACCAAATAGAGCTGTTCCAAAAATAACTGTATGTGGAGACAATCAAAGGCCCTACAAACATCAGTCCATAAACAGGAAAAATTTGGACAATTTGTGACAGGATTCATGGTATTGGAGTGATTGGACATGCTTATCTTCAACATTTTCATGACAAGTTACAGATCAAGTTCAAATTTTTGTTTCGGTCTAATAATTTTGTGCAGAGTTATGGTCCTTGGACTTGAAAAATTCACTCATATATTCAGTTTTCCACACTGTTTTTAGTCATGCTTGAAGATATTGACTTGATATTTTCTTTTTGTTTACACCATGACAAGTTATAGAACATGTTAGCATTTTGTTCCAGTATAATGAATTTTTACCCGGTAGGGGACTGTATTGCCATGCAATACTCTCAGAATGCTTGTCATTATTAGAGGGTGAATAAAATCCATAGGGTATTCAGCCTTCGGCCTCACCCTCTATGGATTTTACTAACCCTCTATGGAGTAGGGGGTCAGTAGCGAACCATATAACTTATAGTAGGTGGACCTTTAGGAGAACTTGTACAGTGCAGCGATCAGGCATGGATAATATTGTTATTATTATTATAATCTGTATATTTGTAGGTGGACCTTTAGGAGATCTTGTACAGTGTAGTGATCAGGCATGGATGATATTGTTATTATTATTATAATCTGTATATTTGGAGGTGGACCTTTAGGAGAATTTGTACAATGTAGTGATCAGGCATGGATAATATTGTTATTATTATTATAATCTGTATATTTGTAGGTGGACCTTTAGGATAACTTGTACAGTGTAGTGATCAGGCATGGATAATCTTGTTATTATTATTTAAATCTGTATGTTTGTAGGTGGACCTTTAGGAGAACTTGTACAGTGGAGTGATCTTGTAGCAACTTTGTTTTTATTGGGGCATCAATTAACAATAACCAGTGAAGCAGAACAATTAGCAGGGTAAGTTAGAACTTGTACAGCATTGTTGTACAGTGGAGTGATCTTGTAGCGAATTTGTTTTTTTTTTGGGCATCAATTAACAATAACCAGTGAAGCAGAACAATTAGCAGGGTAAGTAAGCAGAATTTGAATGATGGAGACATAAAATGATGATTTCTCGTCAGCACATCATTTAACTGTTCTGCATAAAGAGGGAATTAAGTAAGTGTGGAGAATTTAATGATAAAGACTTTGTGGGATGATTTGATTGCTTGTTATTTAACTGTGCAAAGAAAAATCTAGAAAAAAATGAGACCTGTAAGTTTTATGTGAACTTAAAAAGATTGTATGTGATTTATATAAAGCATTGTATATCTTGTGAAGTTTCAGAGCCTACAGAGACAATTGCCAAATGGTTAGTGGATATTAGGGGCCCTTCATGGATTTATTTATGCTTGATTTTTCAAATTTTCAGGGGTAATTTTACAAGATGCATATCTTAATGTGATACTGATTCTGTTCACATTGGGTTATCCTGCTTACTTCTTTAAGAGATTTCTGATGGAATGTTAATAATAAATTAAAAGTTGTATGATTATTTTTATGCCCCCGCCGTAGCAGAGGGGGCATTATTTTTTAGAAGTTGCATAAAGTTCAAAGTTGCTTCAAAATTTTGACTTTATTTATGTCTTAAATTTCTGTGTTCAGTGTCATTTGTTTCCATAACAACACTATTTACTTTCTAAGAAGGAAACATATTTGAAATTGATTGCAGGCAGTCAAATACTTTTTAAGTAGATAAATGTTTTAATAAATGAAGATGATTTAAGATTCATTAAAGATTTGGTTCTTGATTGTTGTACTTACAGTTGTTTTCATCAAATCAATTTTTCAGAAATTATTGGACAAAAAGTAAGCTTGTGTCTGGTAATTGACCAACCTGTATCAGAAAAATATTTTTAACATTTTTAATATGCACAGACTCCACTGTATAATATTTGTGTATTATTTCACTACATCCACCATTTTCCAAGTAGGGGTTTATTTATTTGGAAAGTCTGTAATTGTAATAGTGAACCAACACCTGAAGTAGTTATCTTACGGTAGGGTAATGAAGAGTGGATACCACAGAGGTATTCACAGTTGTCTTTGAGAAATTGAGAATATATCGACATTGAAGACAACAACACTCATAGATTACCATATGATAATGCTTTTAATGGTTGACTTTTTTCACCGAATAGATCAGCGTCATCATGACAATAATAAATGTTTTTTATTTATTTGTGATTTAAGGTAACTATTGTCAGTCAGTTGTTGCTTTTGATATATTTTGATATGACACATATGAGCTTGTCCATTGACATTTTTTATAGACTATTAATGAAAGAAAGGTATGGGTACACATGCACCCTATATATATCCCTACCTACAACATTAGGAGAAGAAGACAGTGATATTTCTAATAGCATGCCTAAGATAGATTTATAGATAAGATAGATAGGGGGAGGGTTGAGATCTCATAAACATGTTTAACCCTGCCACATTTTTGCGCCTGTCCCAAGTCAGGAGCCTCTAGCCTTTGTTAGTCTTGTATTATTTTTAATTTTAGTTTCTTGTGTACAATTTGGAGTTTAGTATGGCGTTCATTATCACTGAACTAGTATATATATTTGTTTAGGGGCCAGCTGAAGGACGCCTCCGGGTGCGGGAATTTCTCGCTGCATTGAAGACCTGTTGGTGACCTTCTGCTGTTGTCTGTTCTATGGTCGGGTTGTTGTCTCTTTGACACATTCCCCATTTCCATTCTCAATTTTATTATTGTAGGAAAAATACAGAGAATTTTTTTTTTCTCAATTTTAACATATTTTGTTGATAATCACATGCATCATAAAACCTATGCTGCTGAGGGAAGCAACTTAGAGGTCCCAAGTTTATTACAGAATTTGAATTGGCAGGGAAAATATAAACGAGAAAAAAAAAATGCCCATTATTGAAAATGATATACTATATCATATCTATATATATATATATAATAATGTTTACTCTGAAATAAATTTTTTTTGATACCATTAATACAGAGAATATTCTGTATAATTCTTGAAAGATAAGTGGACAAAAAGTACTGATAAACAGTCAGAGCTCTGACATAAACAAGTCAGAATAAAATGACTTCTTCAAGTCAGAAAGTGTTTTGAAATTCTGACCTGTACGCGTCAATTTTTGTTTTGCGTAGTTTTCACTCGAGTCCGTCAAACCAGAAGTTATTTTGAATTTGCCGCCGATCTACGACACATACGATCACGTGGTTTTTTGCAAGAGATCACGTGTTTGAGAGTCGTTGTTTTGGAAGTGTCTCGAACGAGAAGTCATTGAATATTATATTGATTATTTACGATTTTTAGTGAAAATCTAGGTCATTGTGGGCATTTTTAGAAAGGTAATTCATATTACCTCCGTATTTTCATGGGCATTTTTATATTTTTTGCCTATAAAGAAGTTCCTTGCAAGTAATTTTTTTGCTGTTTCATGAAGGCGCGGGACCTGTAAATACGGACGCGTGGTCTTTGAGATGACCTGGTGTTTGACAATTCTGACTTGTTCAGGTCAGAAAATGTTGTTATGATAATGAATTGTTATTTTCGGGAGATAACTCGTGTTGTCTTAAACATTATTAACATTATTAACCTGTCATTGCAATTTAAAAAGTAAAATTATTGCTTCGAGCTGAACATCGTCACGTGATTTTTCTATTTTTAAACTCAATCACGAATTGATTTTTTAACCTTTCTGATTCGTTTCTCCCTATGAGAAAAACGATCATTGTGAATATTGATATGATGATAATGAAACGAAAATGGGAAAAATTTTAATAAAAGAAAAAGGAAGGGAGGGGTTTAACTAAAGAACCCAAGGGTTTTTTTTTATTTTTAAAGTTATAACTTGAGAACAATAAGTGATGCACACACCTGGTCTTCATTTATGATCATGGGACATGATAAAACAAATCAAATGAAATGTAGGGCAAGTCTCCAGGGATCACCCCTTTCCCTGTCATTTCTCTATTCCTCTTCATAATGTCAAATTGATTTGAATGAAATATTCCGGGCTAGTCTCCAGGTTTACCCCCACCCCCTGCCATTTGCAAATGTTCCTATATTTTGTAAACGGTAGAGATCCCCACCCCTAAACCATATATATTCCTGTATGGGACAATTTAACAAATCAAATGATATGTTGGGGAGGTCCCTGGGGGTCACCCCTACCCCTCCTGTTTGAAAACTTGTAAACGGTTGAGTTCCGCACCCCTAAACCATATATTTTCTTGAATAGGACAATAAAACAAATCAAATGAAATATAGGGGAAGTCCCTTGGGGTCACCCCCACCCCCTCCTGTGTGAAAACTTGTAAACGGTCCGGATCCCCTCCCCTTAACCATATATATTCTTGTAAGGGTCAATAAGACAAATCAAATGAAATAAAGGTGAAGTCCCTGAGGGTCACCCCACCCCCTCATGTTTGAAAACTTGTAAACCGTTGAGATCCCCACCCCTAAACCATATACATTCTTGCACAGGACAATAAAACAAATCAATTGAAATATAGGGGAAGTCCATTGGGGTCATCCCCATCCCCCTTTTTGAAATGTTCTGGATCACCACCCCTAAAGGTAAACCATATGATATCCCTGTTCGTCATTTCAAGAAGATTTGAATGACATGCAGGGTCAAACCCTAGGCGTCACTTATGCATAACACTTTACTAGACAAAACCAATTTGTACTGGAACTTGCCCAATGTCAGGCAACCATGGGGATGACGAATTATGGGAGCTTTGTTTGGGAGACTTCGTAACAGCATCCTGTTACAATTATTTCTTGTTTATTTTAATCTGCTGAGAGACCACCTTAATTTACATATTATATTTATCAGTGTTTGTGCAAACAGAATTGTCTATTCAGTATTATTTTCCTCTCACATGCATCACATCTTATTAATTACGTGGATATAGGAAGATGTGGTATGAGTGCCAATGAGACAACTCTCCATCCAAGTTACAATTTATAAAAGTAAACCATTATAGGTCAAGGTCCAGCCTTCAACACGGAGCATTGGCTCACACCGAACAGCAAGCTATAAAGGGCCTCAAAAAATTACTAGTGTAAAACCATTCAAACGGAAAAACCAACGGTCTAATCTATATAAAAAAAAAAAAAAATTTGGCATATTTGTTTTCCTCTGAAATTACACATCTATAATTCTTAACCCAGATGCTTAGCCACAGGAAGCATTTACCTTTTATTTGAGACATAGATAGTCTTTGTTTCTACAGAAGTGAGAAGAACATTGGAAGTCAGAATGTTCTGACTTATAAAAGTCTGAATGTTCTGATTTATAAAAGTCTGAATGTTCTGACTTTATAAGGTCAGAAAGACTCAGAATGATCTGAAAATACTGACTTTTTTCAATGTTTAGAGTATTTTAGAATATGAATGCACTTGTTATGCTAGTACCATAAGAAACCCTGACAAGATTTTGTTCCCAAACAACAATTTTTAAAGATATTAAGAATAACAAGTGTACAATGGAACATAAATTACAAAGTTATAAGTGTTGTGAAAAAAGCTATTTAAAAAAAAAATCAATAGATAGTTATCTTTCAACTTTTACATGTATTTAAAAAACAGTGAAAATATTATGGATTATATGTACGGCTTCTTGAAGGACAACAAAGTCACCATATTTGGTCTGAATTTGTATGTTTTTTCTCCTCAAAATTTTTTTAACATTAATAATGTCGGCTTTTTTCTTAACTAATTTTAAACATTCTTAATTATAATTAAATTTCCCCAACATTTTGCTTACAAACTCTTTAATTTCTAAAGTCAAATTGAAAGTTGTCTTCACAGATTCAATGTGTCTGAAAATGTTATATTGAAAAAACAATACTTTTATATCCTCAAATAAAATGGGCATACCATGAGTTTAATGGTCATGCAGATATGCAATCCAGGATGTTA